GTGGGAGCAAGTTTAAATGAAAGACTGTGACTTGAAATCCAGCACAAGAGAAGGGAGGAGCCACTAGAGGAGGCACGGCCACAAGCTGCAGACCCAAGGGCACCTGGAAAAAAAAACCTGATGAGTGTACCTGCACTGCACCTGAAGGGGTTACCTGCACCTGAGAGGGATACCTGTCTATAGCATGTGAGAAGTACTCAACCAGTGGGGTTGTTTCAAGAAGACGGTGCAACAGCAGATGAAACGAAAGAGACGGTATGGCAGGCAAGGGTGGGGGCATGGGGGACCGGGTACTTTGCTGATTGTGTGGTGCAGGCGGAGGGGGTGCTTCAATGGAGAGTGGGCAGGGCGAGTAGGGACGGACCTGCGAGGCAGAGGACAAGGGAGAGAGACATATGGAGATAGTAAGAGGCAAGTGGGAGGGAGCGACTCTTATAAACAAGAAGACAGGCAGCAGTGTGAGTGCAAAACGACAGTCCATGTGACGCCAACCACAACCGCACAAGAGCCGCTACCAACCTGAACCTGCACCTGAACCTGAACCTGAGGGGGAGTGGGCTCGAGTGGAGTGTGGTGGCAGGGGCGAACCTGCAACATCAACTGTTGATGAGGCTGGCGCTGCTGCCCCACTGCCTGCGCTCCTGCTGCCCGCCCTGGCGCTCCCCTCGCCTGCTGCACTCCCCCTAGCTTGTGAAGGCCTGGCAGGGAAGGGAGGGCAGGAAGGGCAGGGGGGAAAGGAAATGTAGCCGAAAGTAAGAGGGGTTGCAATGGAGAAAAGTGTCAAACACATGTGCAACAGCAGAAACGACAATGCATGTGACGCCAACCACAACCCCACAAGAGCCACTACCAACCTGAACCTGCACCTGAACCTGAATCTGAGGGGGAGTGGGCTCGAGTGGAGTGTGGTGGCAGGGGCGATACTGCAACCTCAACCATTGATGAGGCCGGCGCTGCTGCTCCGCTGCCCGTGCTCCTGCTGCCCGCCCTGGTGCTCCAGTCGTCTGCTGCTCGCCTGCTGCCCTCCCCCTGGCTTGTGAAGGTTTAGCAGGGAAGGGGGGGCAGGAAGGGCAGGGCAGAAAGGAAAAGGCAGTCGAAAGGAAGAGGGGTTGCAATGGAGAAAAGTGTCAAACACACGTGCAACAACAGAAACGACAGTGCATGTGACACCAACCACAACCCCACAAGAGCCGCTACTAACCTGAACCTGCACCTGAACCTGAGGGGGAGTGGGCTCGAGTGGAGTGTGGTGGCAGGGGCGATACTGCAACCTCAACCGCTGATGAGGCCGGCGCTGCTGCCCCGCTGCCCGCCCTGGTGCTCCCCTCGCCTACTGCTTGCCTGCTTCTGTCCTCTTGGCCTGCACTCGCCTGGTTGGAAAGGGATGGGAGGGCAGGGAGGGGAGGGAGGGGAGGGGAGCGACGTGAGGAACGAGGTGAAGGCAGCGGGGGAGGTGGGAGCGAGAGTGAGATGGGGAAACAGCAGGCAAGGCAAGGGAGGGGCCACTGGAGGAGCACATCCACAAGCCACAGACCCCCAGGGGAACCTGATGGGTTTACCTGTAGTGAAAGATGGGGCCCTGTTGCTTGTGAGGCGGCCCCCAACCAGTGGCAAGTATATCAGGGAGAAACGGTGAGCAGCAAGAGGGAGAGTGGAGGGAGGAGAAGGCAGTTAGCTGGCGGTTGAAGAAGCACCGAAAGCTGATGCTGCTGCTGCTCACTCCCACCTCAACGGGACTCACAGCCGTGCGACCGTTTCGCCATGAAACGAATCGCGGACTATGATTTCGCCACGCGTGGACGCGATGACGATTATTTCGCCGTGCGACGACCCGCGGACGACGGTTACATGCGATGATGCGCGGACGATGGTTCCGCTGTGCGATGACGCGCGGACGACGGTTTGGCCGTGCGACCAGCGCTAACTCAACCTCCTTATTTTCTTAAACAGATTCTTATTGCTGATTATTGTCATAACAATGCTATACGCGATTCACGATCCCTTACAGCGAATCAAGCTCCTTTGCTTCGCGCCTCGGATTTACCGCCGATTTTCGTCGCGGTTGTCAGAGGTGTCCGTTTCTGACACCAGCCTTCCCTCCCTCCCAGCCTTGGCAATCCATCCAAGCACAACTTGTTCCTTCCCAGTTGCCATGCCACCCACATTCTTCCACAGATGGCTCTGTTTCTTCCTCCTACCAGACTCCCTTAGCTGAGTCCCATTGTCGCCATACCTATCGATAGTCCACCTGTCGATGGTAGAGATTAATCCGCCTGAAGCGACGCCAGTTGGAAAATGCAATCTCCACTCTTCTTTTACATATGACGAGATAGGCGTCGCGTCGTCTATGACTGATCCATTTTCCGAAGACCGATTGCGGTCTAACGACGGAGATACAGTCTTATTACGTAGTTCTGAGAAGCAGGGAGAGTAACGACTTTAGTTCGCGGTTCTAAGACGAAGGATGGATTCACATCCTACTTATGCGCTGGTTCTAAATCGCAGGACGTATTACGACCTTGATACACGGTTCTAAGTTGCAGAATAGGATAGCGTTCTCCAGAATCCATTCCCAGGACATTCGATGAATCCGTAACCTTTAGAGTGCGGTCCTAGACCACCATAGCGACCTTAACACGCGGTCCAGCTGGTCACTCCCTGGACCTTTTCGTCGACGCCGTCCTACCGTGCTGGTCACTTCCGTCTGTGCATGCCGTCCTTTTCGCCGTTTTCGCCTGGCGGTCGTCGGCTTTCGCTGCCATTTCCCGAGTTCTGGCATTTGCCGAGTGTCGCTGCAGTTAGCTCGCTGTGGTCGATTTTCGTTGTCGGTCGCCAAGTTCGCTCCTGTCGTTCGCCATATATCGCTGCCATTCGCCATGTTCCGCTACTGTTTGCCGACCATCGGTGCCGTTCGCCGAGTGTCGCAGCCATTCGCAGCGCTGCTCCGTTCGGCGGCCGAGTCTTCGCCGAGTTTCTCCTGGCGTTCGCCGACTTTCGCTGACGTGCGCCGAGTTTCTCTTCCGCCGGTATCTCCATCTTTCGCCGTCGTTCCCGAGCTTTGCTTCGATGAAAAACGCCAAGGATATACAAGGTCGGCGGAACGCAGCAGCGGGTGAACGCGGATTGCAAGGGCAAACGGGTGATGTCGGCAGCAGCAGCGCGGATTCGGAGCAACGCGGATTCGAAACACCAGCAGCGCGGATTCGAAAGGGTGCGTGTGCATGGAAAGCAATTGGGGGGTCGAGCAGTCTAGGTCCCCGCGCGGCAAGTCTTAGAATCATTCTTTGTTTCTTTCGAGTCCGTTTCCTCTGCTGCTTCTGACGCTCTCTCCTCTGTGCTTGTTCCTTGCGAGGAGGAACGCGGATTGCGAGGAGGAACGCGGATTGCGAGGAGAACGAGGAGGGTCAGACGACCGACGTCAGAGCAGCAGCAGCTGCAGAAACAAGGATTCAGGGGGGAGATAGCTGGAGGCGGAAGAGGGACATATGTTACTGTGCAGTACAGTAAGCTCTTGACTAAACCTAATGGGGGGGGTCGAACAGCCTAGGTCGCCGCGCGGCAAGTCTTAGGATCGCTTTCTGTATTTCCCAAGTCCTTTTCGTCTGCTGCTGCTGACCCACTCTCTTCTGTGCCTGTTCCCGTGCTGTGTTGCCTGAGGCTTAAGGATGAGCGACATGCGTCCCTGGAAGATGCGCTGCGAGTGACGAGTGACCATGGAAGGTGTGGTGCGAGTGAGGACAGAGGATCCGCTTTCTCAGAATGGTGAGTGGATCGGCGGGTCTATCGGGGGGGTAAGTCATAGGTCGCCGTGCGGCAAGTCATAGATATGAATCTTTTTTTTTTCTTTATCCGATTCTGCTGCTGATTCTAACGTGTGCTTGTTCCTGTGTGCTTGTTTTTCTGTTTCTGTTGTGCTCGCTGCTCTGCTCCGGTCTCTCCTTGACCACGGTTCTAAGTTCCAGAGCAGCGGCGCCTCTCCCTCACACCCCCCCAGAGCAGCGGCGCCTCTCTCTCCCGCTCCACCCCTGCTGCACCGGGGAGCCTCCAGCTCCACCCCTGCTGCACCGGGGAGCCTCCCGCTCCACCCCTGCTGCACCGGGGAGCCTCCCGCTCCACCCCCTGCTGCACCGGGGAGCCTCCCGCTCCACCCCTGCTGCACCGGGGAGCCTCCCGCTCCACCCCTGCTGCACCGGGGAGCCTCCCGCTCCACCCCTGCTGCACCGGGGAGCCTCCCGCTCCACCCCCTGCTGCACCGGGGAGCCTCCCGCTCCACCCCTGCTGCACCGGGGAGCCTCCCGCTCCACCCCTGCTGCACCGGGGAGCCTTGAGCAGCTCGCCTGACACCTGGAGCAGCACGCACCGCAGCAGGGTGCTGCTTGGGTCATGGGGGTACGTGCCAGGGGGTGCTTGCAGTGGGGGCGTGAATCGAGTCGTAGAGCGTCGCCGCGCAGAGGCATGAGTCGTGTCTGTTCTTGTTTTTGCCATTCACCTCCTCTCCTGCTGCTCCTAACCCTCCCTTATTCTGCGTATGTCTCTTTTTCTCCATGTGTGTGTGCGCCTCATGTCCTGCGAGACGGACGGGGGTGTCAGCTAGTGGACGGAGGTGGCAGCGAGTGGACGTGGAGGCAGCGAGTGGATGGGGGAGCAGCGAGTGGCTGCAGGGATCACCAGTGGCTGCAGCGACTGTAGGATCATGGCGAGCACACAATAGGTCGTGAGTGGATCAGGTCAAGCAATTTACCGCTTCACTTTTCACGCTTCACTTTTCACCTTTCACGCTTCACTTTTCACCTTTCACGCTTCACTTTTCACCTTTCACGCTTCACTTTTCACCTTTCACGCTTCACTTTTCGCCGTCTTGCTGCTTTCCGTGTTCCATTCTCTCTTGTCTACCATTTTTCCACGGCGCCCATGACTCTTTGCATCGTGCTGCCATGTTGTGATGCCAGTCTTCTCAGTTCCCAAACCCCTTCACTCCTGTCCTCTCCTCTTCTCTGCAGTGACCGGTGGTGGATGCGACGACAGCAACAACTGCAGCAGTAGCACCAGCGGCGACGGAGCAACCAGGAGCACGGGCAGTGGCAGGGCGCTGCTTGGACTGTAGGCTTGGCGCAGCAGCAACAGAGCAGCCTGGTGTAGCACGATGGAAGAGAAGGCGTGGTGCAGGCAGAGCGGCAGGATGGCAGATAGAGTATGGTACGTGCCAGGGGGTGCTTGCAGGGGGGTTGTGAACTGTCATAGGGTGTCACCGCGCAGAGGCAAGAGTCGTGTCTGTTGCTTGTGGGTCCACCACTCGCCACCTACTGCTTCTAACCCTCCTTTATTGCTCTGCATCTGCGTATGTGTCCCTTTCTCCCCATGTGTGTGTGTCTAGGTTGCTGTGCGGCAAGTCTTAGATTCAATCTTTGTTTCGTCCAAGTCCGTTTCCGCTGCAGCTTCTGACGCACTCTCTTTTGTGCTCGTTTCTGTGCTGTGTTTTCTGCTGTGGTTCCGGTAGTGCCTCCTGCACTGAAGCCCATGCACTGAGTTCTGCCAACGGTCAGAGCGATGCTGTGTGAGTGAGGATCTGTGCTTCTCAGGGTTGGCGCTTTCCAAGTTTGGTGCGAACAAGAGTTGTCTCAGAAACTAGCTTACCATGGAAGCAAGGTAAGTGATTGGGTCGATTTAATGGGAGGGGTAAGAGCAGTCTAGGTCGCCGTGCGGCAAGTCTTAGGATCAAGCTTCGTTTCTCGAGTCCGTGCCTCTCCTGCTTCTGACAAAATTCTCTCTGTGCGTGTTGCTGTGTTGCGTTGGCTGCTCTGGTTCGGTGGTCTGCCTGACTGACTGAGACCCACCCAGGGACACGCTGACAGTGATTCCCTGAGAGATGTTGTGCGGTGCAAGTGAGGAGTGAGGATCCGCCTGCTCAGCTCAGCCGTCTCAACGTTCGCTCACCAAGGCAGTATGGTAAGTGATTCAGGCGGATTCATAGGGGGGGCAGAGCAGTCTAGGTCGCGGCACGGCAAGTCCTAGAAGCGAGCTTGTGAGTATGTTTCTTTGCATCTTCTGACGCTCTCTCCTCCGTGCTTGTTCCTGTGGTGTCTGCTCTGGTGCAGTGCGGTGCTTGTGGGTGCCTCGTGGGCTGAGAGCCATGGAATGGGCGTCACAGGGACTGAAAGCCTTGCTCCCAGGGGTGGTGCGTCCCAGGGACGCAGTGGCGTGGCTTGGGTGTTCACTCGCATTCAGAGGGCAGAGGGCTCTCGTGTGACCCCAGTACAGGCAGTCCCTCGCATGGGTGAGCGTCCTCTCGTGTGTCCCGACTTGTACCTGACCACACGTACGCACTTGCATGCATGCAAGCAAGACCCGGCCCGGCCAGTAGAAGTGAATGGCTGATGCACCTGTCCCTTTGTTCTTTCGGAAATCCCGGCCACTGGAAGCAAACCGGAGCACAAGGCTCAAACAGTCTTCAAAGGTACGCCCTCATACGCCCCCTCAGTTAACCCCATTAGGTACCCCTCAGGTGCTCCCTCATGTAACAGTTCAGGTACCCTCTCAGGTGCACCTTCAAGGACCCCCACAGGTATATTTGGACTTTATTTGGAGTTAGTCCACTTCATTTTCACGCTGTGCAATCCATGGCCCCTTCGCTTGTGCCCTGGATATCTCATTTTACTTGTTCTATTCGTGGTGAGTATCCTCTGCTTTCTGTAGTGACCTGCATTGCGCTCCCACATGCCACTATCCCCAATCCGAGCAGGGGCCTGGGAGAGGGGAGCGATGCAGAGGAGAGTATGAGGTGGTCGTGGGAGGAGCGAAGCAGCAAAGCACAGCCATCACAAGGCGTATGCGTGCACAGGGAGGGTGTGTCCTCAAGTGGTGAGCCCCCTTCACCTTTGTCGCTTCTCTAGTATCTTTTGGCTTTCCACGATCTGCTTGTCTGGCTTGGCTTTCCCTGCTGATTTTGGCTTTCCACGATCTTTCGCTGCCTTTTTGCTTGCTGTAGTGTTTCCTCCCCTCCCTCCTCCCCAACCCCCTTTTTACCCTTTTCCCCTTGCTGCCTCCAACCCCCATTTTACCCGTTTCCCCTTGCTGCCTCCAACCCCCTTTTTGCCCTTCTGCAACCTTTTCCCTGCACCCTGCCCCTCTGCAGTCCCGGCAGCCGGACTGAAGCAGCGATGGCAGCAGAAGCAACAACAGGCAGTGCAAGGGGTAACATGTGGGGTATGGACTGCTGCAGGTAAGTTCCGTCCCTTTCCCATCTCTTTCCCTTGAAAAAGTCCATTTCTATCCTCCGTGGTTACAACGGAGAACATGCGGGATCTCAGCTGCATTGCCGCTTCCATTCCTATCCTCCAACATTTCAGTCATACCGTATTTGCCCTTGAATGTTTTGCCTCTGCCATTCCCTTGGTTTTCTCGAGCTCTGAATTCGTGTCCCTCCCAACGTATTCCCCTTGAATCTGCTTTACTCCCCTACTCCCCCCAATCACGCAACAGGCATGGTTGTAGCAACACAGTCAACGCGCAGGCAGGAAAAGAGGAGGGGAGGAAAGAAGGAGAAAATGAGGGAAGGAGCAGAGGAGGAAAGGGGGAAACGGGGAAAGCAGCGAAAGACAGAGGGAGGATGAAAGGCTCGCTTGGAAACGAACAGGGTGAGTAATGTCGCCCTCGCTGCACCCACCCGCTTATGTTTACTGAGTCCCCTGCCCTCCTGCCATCAAACCACACTAGTGCCATTCAGCTCACTTGTTTCCGGGCTATTCCCTCCTAAGCTCACCAGTTGCACGAGTGCAGTTCCCCCTGCTTCCCCGTAGCAGTCTCTGCTCCTCTGATTCGTATTCCTGCTTTCTTTCCGCTCGTTTCCGCGTGTTCCTCATACTGTTTCTCTTGCCCCTCGTACTCTTTCCAGCTGGAGTGTTCTTATCCTCTTCTATTGTATTCCCCCCCCGGTGGCATTCGTCCTCCCATTAATCCTCTCTGCATCAACTTCTGCTCTTCGCAGGTCAACAGAAACCAGCTGGAACGGCAACAGCAGGCGTGGTACCAGCAGTGATGTATGCAAAGCGGCAGTAGGTCTCCAGTAGCAGTGGTGATGGGGCATAGTTCATACCTTAATTGCCGTTGAAAGGTCGCTCTATACAATGCCGTCGTCATCTGATTCCAACCCTGCCAAACCTAAACCCCTGGCTCGGCGCCTCCTCGCTGCCAAAACCGTCTTCTGAACCTCCTCCTTAGCTTTTGAAGCATCTCCAGGGGCAGCTTCGGCAGCAGGGGAGCCTCCGAAAGTGCCTTTGCTGCTGGTTCATCTGCCGCTTTTAAAGCGTTTTGCTGTGCTTCAGAGGTTGATTCGGAGGGTGCTGCTTCGGGGGGTGGGTGCGTTGTGAATGACTGGCCCTTGAGAACTGTCGGTCGTGCTGGCGGCGAGGAGCGAGCGAAGGGACACAGATGTGACGAAAGGAGAAGCGCCGCTGCTGTTGCTGATGCTGAGTGTGACAACAGAGCAAGGAGAGGCAGCACTGCTGCTGAAAAATCAGTGTGGCTGAGTGACTAACAGATCAGCGAGAAAGATTGTGAGGGGTTGACGTGGGAAACCGAAGATGACTGTTGAGTAGATTGAAGGATGATTGACGGTTGTGATTGGACGACGCGTCATGCCATGACCGCATCCCGGGGAGCTACCGTAGAAGCGAGGGAGGACGCGGGTAAAGCGATTACATATGGCTGCTCTCATCGGTCGGTGGTCGTAGGGACGAAAAGTTTTGAAACTACGGCGAGATTAAGCTACGAGCACGGTGCCAAGTGATCCTACTGCATGATGTGAATCAACTATGCTCGAGCAGTTAGTGTGATGGGACGAAGCAGGTCATAGGGTAAAGATTCAAAGTATTCTCTACTGGCTAAGGGATGCCGTATAACCAGTTGCTGATAAAACAAAACACACGCCTTCAGACATCATGGAACTAGTCGGTGAAGCAAGCAGGGGTTTGTCCGAGGGAGCAGCAACAGCCTTACAATTAGTGTCAGTTGCACTGGAATGGAATGCAACTCGGTTTTATCTGCCTGCTCCGTTGTGAGTAGGGTTTACAAGAGGGAAGCACATTCAAGATTCAAGTGTCAAGCCCAGAGAGTTCCACACCAAGTTGCAAGGCAGAACCGAAGCAGAACCCACGGGAACCAACGGAAATTAGAAATAATATTGGTTTGGAAGTGGCGGCACCTGGGTGGTTTGATTTATTGACTTCTTGATCCATGTTCCCGTCCTAAAAATGGTTTTATTGTCATGATTTATATAGGCATGCAATATAGCATTTACCAGTGTAGGAGATCCAGAGAAAGTTATATAATTTACAAATAAACCAGCCGCCTTCGAGACAACTGTCATGCGATGGAATTTACAAGGTTTGCTTACACAAAACGACATGGCCCACCCTCCTTTTGCAACTTCAACACACCCACCCAATCCGGATGATTGCACTTTCGGTGTCAAGGTGTGTGAAGCCTCACCCAGTGGTAGCGGCTGTCATAAAATTGTGGTGACATTTGTACACCCTGTTTCTCGACCCTCTCACCTTGCGCGATTCGCTGCTACAGTGCGGTCAGGTGCCATAAACCGTATGGCTGAAACCTGCGGGCAAAGCCGCACCAGCTGACGGAGTGGTACTGGGGGCAAAAATTTTCTTTATCGCTGTATACCCTTTTCAACCGTTTTGAACGCTTTGTTAATGTTCTTTACCATGCAGCATCCTAGCTAACCGCTTTCTTGTGAATGTGCTTGTACCGTCGGTGATAAGACCATTTCAAACGTGGTGACGTTCTACAACCAGTGCATGTTCTGCAACCAGATGCTCTGCTAGCGCGAAACAGGGTGTAGCAACGACAGAAAATTACGGTGGTGCAGCGGACCCACATTCGTCCCAAATCTGGGCATCTGCAGCGACTGTTCACATAGAATCTCAACAACATCGAATTCACATCTGTACATGCCTTGCCACACCAAGCCTGCGAAACAATCAAGCTATGATTTTTAAGTCACCTAACCATAAATAGCTTGTTTTGTTTAATCTGTACAGTATTACACACATCACTATGTACCTACCTTCAAGACAAGTGTACAGTTTGAAGTTTTTATCAGCAGCACCTGAAAGCTCCACGTCAACTTTGTTTTGTCAGTGTTTTGTTTTGCCAAGGGTCCAAGACTAAGGACTTTTGCTGTACATGCCAAACTAAGGTGAGTTTGTCGCTTTCGTTGGAAAACTTGCGGCGATTCGTAGTCGCCCTTGTTATGAGAGAGATCGCATCGCAATCTCCAGGTTTCTTGGGAATAAATTCACGGCTGCCCAGACTAAGATTGTGCCGAACAAATCGTTTGCCCATCGATTCCACAGGCATGACATGTGCACACCACGCCGTTCCATGGCTTCAATTTTAATAAGGCCATGGTTCGGGCAGGAGGGACATCAGGATCTCAAAACAGCCTTTGGAAGCTCGAAAGGTCCAAATTTTACTTTCCATGTAGGTTCCACGTAGATGGCTTGAGCCCAAAGCAGAAGTTTAGCTTGGGGTCCCAGTCTGGTTGTTGCTTCGGTTCGCTGTAACATCACATCCGAGCCTGGGCTAAAACTTGGTTAGTTGTATTCGTGTTCGATGGTGTATTTTTCGAACTGTAAGCCTGGAAAATATTATGTGCCCGAAGGATAGGGCGCGTTTAATCCCGTGTCAGACTCAGGACAAAGCTTTGGAAGACACAAGGTGACTCGGTTTGTATCTTCCGAACCTAAATTGCCAGCATTCCGAGTCCCTTTGTGTCTTCCCAAACTCAACTTCGGTCTGGCTTCGTGGTTGACACGATATAAAAACGCCCCCTTATTATCTCGACAGTGTGATCCCTTCACCCCTGCAATCTACCACGGCCACAGCCCAAGAAATCCGTTTTCAAAATACCTCTGGCATGAAACTGTTATTCCTATTCCTAGTTTGCCGCAGCATTCTAGATAGGCTCGGAATTCCAAACGAACCAGAGTTGAGCCAGGAATCAAGGAGGTTACACGTGTCAAATATTTGTGTTCGCAGCGCCCAATGCAGCAGTGTGTGTTCCGCCGCCAAGCGCATCAAGCGAGCTGTACACCCTCACTCCGCTGCGCTTCAGAATCACCGCCATTCACGATTCACCTCAACACCACCACCGCCATCGTTCCGCCAACCTTACGGAAAGCTGGGTGGGATATCTGTCCCTCAAGCCCATCTCGATCACACATCCCTTACCTAATCCAGCCTTGGGCGCCGCCTCCCCATCCCATCGATCGTATCTATCTCCTCCGCCGAAGCTAAGGACGCACTCTCTCTTCCGCCCGCGCCAGCAGCCCGCTTCCCCCATCACCCGCGTCTCCGTACTGTTGCTTCCTCTTGATGCTCCTCTTCTGCTAATGTTTCACTCCCGCCTTCCTGTATTTCTCCCATCCCATGGCCACCTAAACTTATCACTTTCCAGTTTATTGAATCACATACTCAACTCATTCCTGTTGGAGCAGTTTATTTTGTGTGCTTGCTGATCACTCACGCAAGTCCTGCTCGATTAAGGCATCTACAAGATCAGCCATAGTTTTTCGCTTGCGTGACGATCGATCGCAGCAGCCCCCATTATTTAAACGCACCAACAGTTATGCCAGGCCGTCAACTCGTACATAACTCTTACCACTCTTCTGCATTCATCTGCAGCCAATCTTCAAGCAGTTCGCTCAAGGTTTCTCAGCCTTCGGGGATCGTGGCATCAAACAATTGCCTTCAGTCTCTTCACGGTCATCCGATCTCCTGCGAGTTCCCCTCGTCTGCCCCAACTGCTCCCCCCCTCTCTTCCGCCTCCCCCGACGTATTGTCCATGGACGACTGTTTCGACTCACACGTGGCGGTCAGTCGGAGCATACCACATTTTGCGGAAGCGATCGATCGCAAGAATTGCTCCGCGAGTTTCTGCACCGTTCAACGGCAGCCGTCGTCGCTCGCTGTCGCCGACGACGGTGCCCGCGTCGCCAAGGTAGGGTCCGCGAGAAGAGGAGGCGTACGAGTTTCGATCCGGGGAGGCCGCGCGGAGGTGATTAACACCGACCCTGACGCGACGGACGATTCGTCGGACGATGAGGACTCGTTCGGCTTGCCATCCCACGGATTCTACTCCGGCAACCACCGCAATCCACGGAGACGCGGCTTTGCCGCTTCCACCGCGGCGACGTCCGTCCGCTCGTCGAACTTCGCTGCTTCGCCGCGATCTGCGGCCACACTGCGATTCCCGTCCGATCCGCCGGGCGGAACTGGCAATGCGGCGGCCTACTCGTCTGCCGCGACACTAAATTACTATTTCGGGGGGCAGCATTTCCCGTGCAGCCCCTCCCCTTACGGCTACACCGCGCAGAGGAGTTATCACGGTGGCTTGGTAGGCGGCGCTTCGGGCGCGGCGAGCGCCGGATCGCCGGCGATGATTGCGACGAGCAGAATGTCGTGCTCCGTCGCAGGCTGCTCCGCGGCAATTGCGGAGTCGCCGTACAGCGCAGGATCCGCGAACCCCGCCACTTTCGGCGCTTATTACAACGGCGCGTACGGGTACCTGTATGGGAGCTCCCCCATTCCCGCGGCGACGCACGGCCATGCCCAGGAGGCGGCCGATCACCATCAGCAACGCCTCAATCAATTCGACCGTGACGTGCGGCAGCAGCAGAGCGGGTACATTGGCGCCCCCGGCGCGCCGTCTGCGCTACACAGCTCAATTCCTATCCACGACGGTTCCCGCATCGCCAACGGATCGATGAGTCAGGCTCCTGACCTCAGACAAACCGGATCGTACGGCGCGGCGCAATCCATGGCGCATTTCCCCGCATTCCGCGTTATGGGGGAGGATCAGGGGAGCGTCGCTGCCTCCGCGATGCGACCAGTGATTGCCGCATCAGGCGCAGCGGGATATCCCGCGAATGGCGGCGAGCGAAACGATTTGGCGCAAGCGGCGCATCCTTCGGAGAAGCTTTCGGCCCGGCCAACTCACCTCCCCACCGGCATTGCCGCTGGCGCGCAGTTCCTGCCGCATTTCCCGGGGGTCCCCGTCGACGCGCACGCGCTGGCCCAGGCGCAGCAAGCGGGGATGAAGCGCAAGCTGGTGAACGGCGGGAAGGCGGCGGCGAGCGGAGTAAGCGGAGTGAGCGGAGCTGGCGGATCGAAGAGGCAGAAGGACGGCGCAGGGGCGGACGCGAGTCACAGCACGTGCAGCACCATCACTGCCAGCGGCGGTGGCGGCAGCAGCAACAGCGACGGCGAGCATCCCGACGCGCATTCCGCGCGATCCGCGCGATCCGCGCATGCCAGCGTGACGACCGCGTACGCCTCCAATCCCGCCTCCCCCGGGGCTGCGGTCTCGTCCGGTTCTCCCCAGCCCGCGAAGCACACGAGCAGCTGCGTCTTCCGAGGCGTGCGGCAGCGGCCGTGGGGCAAGTGGGCGGCTGAGATTCGCGACCCAACGCGCGGCGTGCGCGTGTGGCTGGGAACGTACGACTCGGCCGAGACGGCCGCTAAGGCGTACGATGCTGCCGCGAGGGCGATCCGCGGTGCCGCTGCTAAAACCAACTTCCCGTTGGCGGATTGCGCGTCCGCTCGAGCTGTCGCTCCTACTGACGCTCCTGCTGCTCCTATTCCCTCTGCTGCCGTTGCGTCTGTGCCTCTGCCTACCGCTGCTGCGTGCGACAGAACCGCTGCTGCCCGGCTTGGGAGCATCAACCTTATGGCACCGCCGCCGCCAGCCATGGCCATGCACAGCCGTCAGGCCTCATCAGGCAGCACTGGAGCCGCCGCCCCCGCAGCAGGCGCAGCCGCCATGGGTACACTGAGCGACGGGCAGCTGATGAAACCTACTGGAGCCGTCGTCCCCTCGGGGAAAGGCTCGCGCCGTGCTGCTGCGTTTCCGGAGGCGGCGACGCTGCGCGGTGCGCTCCTTCCGCGCATCGCCAGCTGCACGTCGTGCGTGGCGGACGCGGAGCCCGAAATGGCCGCCCCCTCCGCGCCCCCCGTTCTGCCACAGGCGCCGGCGGAGGTGGCGGCGACTGCAGGTGCTGCTTGTGCGCGTGGTGGTGAGTCGAGCGGGTGCGCCCGCACCAGGCCGTACGCGGGGAGGAAGAGCGGTAAATCCGGGAAACCCAATGGCTCTGGCGCTGCTGCTGCTGCTGCTGCTGCTGCTCCTGCTGTGGTGACCGGCACTGGTTTGTGCAAGGCAGGTTCAGCTAAGGTCGCTGCAGCATCATCATCTCCGTCCCCCATCACACGACCGGACAGCCCCTCTGCACTGCCAACGGTTGCTGCTGCTGTTTCCACGGCTGTTGCCCCACCTGCTGCTCCTGCTAAAACTGCTGGTGTTGGTGGTGCCAATCTAGCCAATCTGGCCCTAGACGACGTGCCGGCGGAAGCACTGAGCATCCCTGACGAGGCATTGAGTAATGAGGAGGCTGCAGCGCTGCTGGATATGGAGGTGGCGTGGAGTCTAGACCTGGCGGATTGCATGGGCGGCGGAAACGATGCGGGGCTGTTGCTGCTGCTGGAGGGCAGTCTGACGCACAGCGCCAGCGTGCAGGATTTGGATGAGATCTCGTGCGCGCTTTTCGACGGTGAGGATGAGGCGCTGCTCATGCAGGGCGCGTTTGATCTGCCTGCGTGCTTCGGAGGGGAGCTGCAGGAAGTAGAGGAGGAGGAGGGTGGAGAGGACGAGGCGCAGCAGGAGGGGAGGGAAGAGGAAGGCGGGTTGATGCTGACTGCCTCTGTGAGGGTGAGTGGGTGGACTGGTGGTAGCAGTGAGGAGGCAATCCACTGTCAAGCCGGAAGCAAACAGAGGGTGGGAGAGGGGGAGAAGGAACAGGATGAGCTGCTACCGCACCTGCCGGAGGGGTGCTTGGAGGGCATGGATGGGTTAGAGTGCATGGGTGGGTTGGAGGATGGGGATGGGTTTGGGGACGATGACCTGCTGGGCGGGGAGTTGGAGCTGATGGATGCCTGGGAGGTGGAGGGCGTGTCGCTCGACTTTATGGATGAGCTTGATAGTGTGCTGCTCATGGGCAGTGGCTCGCACTCTGGCAGCAATGCTGCCTCGGCTCTCACACAGTAGGGATGCTGCTGCTGCTGCTGCTTCTGCTGCTTTGAGGGTGCGCTATGCTTTTTTATGTTTGGTGTCGGCAGTCTACGCTGTATTTATGCCATAATGGGGACTTGAATTGCCAGTTGCCTACGGTAGATTTGTTTGTTAGCCTTATGATGTATTAGGGTATCAGAAAGAATATATCCACAATCTGGGCTACTGTACATGAGTGTGATGACAGACTGGTACCGTATTCTCCTGGACATAACACCCGGGGGTGATATGATAACCACAGGGAAAAAGGGGGGGGGGTGTCAAATGTTGTAGCCTGTAGTGAGGTTTGTCTTAGGGGGTACAGAAGTTAGGGTTTGTCATATGTACCCCAACCAACATCAATGCAACATCCATTCCTCATTCTGACATGGTATCAGCTAGGTTAGGATCCTGTGGGATCCCGTTCCTCCGTTCTCCGTTCGTACCTCCCGAGCCTGATCCTACCTCTCGTTCGTACCAGTTTAGTTGTTACCGCGCCTAGTACCGAGCCTAGCATCATCTCCCCCGTCGCGTCGCGCCCGTTCCCCCCCGTCGCGTCGCGCCCGTTCCCCCCGTCGTGTCGCGCCCGTTCCCCCCGTCGCGTCGCGCCTGTTCCCCCCGTCGCGTCGCGCCCGCCTGTTCCCCCCCTGTCCCGTCGCGTCGCCCTGCCCTGTCCCGTCGCCCTGTCCCGTCGCGTCGCCCTGTCCCGTACCGTCGCCCTGTCCCGTCGCGTCGCCCTGTCCCGTCCCGTCGCGTCGCCCTGTCCCGTCGCGTCGCCCTGTCCCGTCCCGTCGCGTCGCCCTGTCCCGTCCCGTCCCGTCCCGTCGCCCTGTCCCGTCGCGTCGCCCTACCCCGTCGCGTCGCCCTGCCCTGTCCCGTCGCCCTGCTCCGTCGCGCCGCCCTGCCCCGTCGCGTCGCCCTGTCCCGTCGCGTCGCCCTGCCCCGTCGCGTCGCTCCCGCCCTTTCTCCCGTCGCGTCGCCCTCCCTAGGCCCTAGCCCGTCGCCCTCCCTAGGCCCTGGCCCGTCGCCCTCCCTAGGCTCTGGCCCGTCGCCCTACCCTAGGCCCTGGCCCGTTGCCCTACCCTACGTTTTGGCCCGTCGCCCTAGCCCGCTCTTCCGCTGCGACTGAGTCCTCTTCCCCCCCGGTTGTTACTCGCCTGTTCGTTCGCGTTGGTTCTCACTATGGCGACTCCGCGAGTTCTTCGTTTCGACGCTGACGGTAGACCCCTTGACTTTTCCGTCTGGCTTCTTCGCGCTCGTCGTCTGTTAGAGAGTCATGTCCAGGGGGGCGAGACCCTCTGGTCACACGCTACTGGTGACCTCCCCGAGCCCCCCGAGCCTACCGCTTTAGGCCCTGCTCCTGACGACGCTGCTACGGCTCGCTTTGCCCGTCAGCGCGCTGACCGGACGGCTTGGACGTCGCGTGACGCTGCGGCCTGCATCGCACTCAGCAGCCTCCTCCCTGAGTCCGAGGAGGTCCACTTTACTCAGGTTCGCACCGCTGCTGCGTACCTCACTGCGATTAAGGCCCGCTACTCTACTCCCGCTACTGTCTCTCTCGGCCGTCTTTTCCTCCCGTTCCTGTTTCCTGATCTTGCCTCGTTTGAGCGCTCTGCTGACTTGATCGCTCACCTCCGCTCGCTCGACGCTAGTTACCGCGCTGCTTGCACTGAGGCACAGCTTGCACTGCTTCCTCCCCCCATGGCGATTACTGTCTATTTCATCGCCACTAGCCTCCCTGACCGCCTTGCCTCCGTTCGTGACGCGCTTCTGCTGAAGCACCCTAGTGAGCTGACTATCGAGGTCCTTGAGTCTGCACTCAAGGATGTCGAGAGCAACCTTCGTTCGGTAGCTGCCGCCTCTGGTACTGTGTCCCCCCCACTCTTCCACGGGTGCACAGTCCCGCAGTTACCCACCTTCACTGCCTCTCTTGCCACTGCCGCTACTGACGCGACTGCGGCTGCTGTTACGACTGCGTCGCGGTCCCGCGGCAGGGGGGGCAAGAAAGGTGGTTCCGGTGGAGGTGGAGGCGGAGGTAGCGGAGGTAGTGGGGGTGCTGTTGCGACTGGCGGTGGTGGGAGTGCAGCGTCTGGAGAGACCCCTCGTGCAGCGGCTGGTGACTCCACTGCACCTGCTGGTGGCGGCGACCCTCGAGCTCGTCAGTCGCCTCCTGTACTGCCGGCCCCGCTAGGTGGAGCAGCGGCGTGGTACCAGGCTCAGCGTCAGCAGCACCTTCAGCAGCAGTAGCAGCCCCTTTCCTCCCAGCAGCCTCAGCAGCAGCAGCGTCAGCAGCTGGCTCCGGGGTCGGGGCTGCGTCAGCCCCAGCGCGGTGCTGCTTACCCTCCCTGCCCCTACCAGGTTCAGACAGGTCCTCGTCGGGGCCACCCTTGTGGCCGCTTTCACCCCCCTGGTCAGTGCTTTGCTCAGCTCACTGACACGGTCCGGTTGACCTACGGGGTTGGCGGTCCTGCTCCTGACTGGCTTCCTCTGGTTCAGCGCCACGGCTCCGCTCTGTGGGGCATGTCTGCTGAGCAGTTAGTTGATCTGATTAGTGCTCCTCATGCTATGTATGCTGTTGTTGACTCTAGTGTTTCTGACTCTGTTTACTCTGGTGTTGTTAGCTTAGGTGCTAGTCTTGCTCAGTTGCCTGTTGCTAGTGTAGGTACTTGTGTAGACTCTAGACCAGCGACTACCTCAGAGGACGCTTCGCTGTCGTTCACACTGGACTCTGGAGCCTCCCACTGCTTCTTTCGGGACAGCACGACACTTACACCACTTCCTGCGCCTGTTTCTGTAGCGTTGGCTGATCCCACTACGGGACCAGTCACTGCACGTCACACTACCACTTTACCGTGTCCTGCTGCTCCCTCTGGGTCTCTCACTGGGTTTCACGTCCCCTCGTTCTCCCGGAACTTGGTGGGCGTGCGACCCCTCGTGAGTCAGCACGTGGGTGTGTGGTTTGAGCCTTCTGGAGAGACTGCGGTGTGTGTTGACGGAGACTCTTACCAGCCTCTTGCTACCTTTACTGCTGAGCCGGGCTCGGGTCTCTACACTCTTCACACTGGCCCGCGTGCGCCGCAGCAGCAGCCGCAGCAGCAGCAGCAGCCGCAGCAGCAGCAGCAGCAGCAGCAGCAGCAGCAGCAGCACCAGCGGCCGCACCAGCAGCCCCCCCTACTGCCACTGCCCCCGGTTCCCCCCCCCGTTCGGGTCCCCGCGTCTCACCAGGTTGCTACGTCCCCCCAGGTGTCTGTGTCGTGTCAGGTTCCTACGTCTGTTCCAGTCGCTGCGTCGTGCTCCTGCCGGTCGCTTGCCCACCCCACCGTTCTGTGGCACCACCGGATGGGGCACCCGTCCCTTCCACGTCTGCGCGCTATGTCTAGTCAGCGTCTTGTCCTAGGCCTCCCACGTGTCTTGCCGTCGCTGCCGCCCTCGCCTGCGCCGCCGTGTCGTCCCTGCGTCGAGGGTAGGCTGCGCGCCACCCCTCACTCCTCCTCCCTTCGTCCGGCCACCGAGCCTTTTGAGACGCTTCACTTGGACGTCTGGGGCCCAGCCCCTCGTCTAGGCCCTGAGCGTGAGCGTTACTTTCTGGTGGTAGTTGACGACTTCTCCCGCTACACCACAGTGTTCCCTCTGGCGAAGAAGTCTGAGGTGACTTCTACGCTGATCAGGTGGTTGCTCACCACTGAGGACACTCGTGGTCGTCGTGTCAGCTGTCTCCACTCCGACCGTGGGGGTGAGTTTCGCTCCGGCATTCTCGCTGGATTCTGTCGCGAGCAGGGCATTCGTCAGTCCTGGACGCTTCCAGAGTCCCCACAGCAGAATGGGGTTGCTGAGCGCCGCATAGGCCTGGTCATGGAGATCGCCCGCACCTCCCTGACTCACGCCTGTGCCCCCCATTTTCTGTGGCCCTACGCGGTCAGGTACGCCGCGCACCAGCTGAACCTCTGGCCACGTGTCTCTCGACCAGAGGTTTCACCGACCAGTCTTTGGACAGGGTCCCCTGGTGTTGCGTCGCGGTTTCGTGTCTGGGGGTGCTTGGCTCTTGTCCGCGACACCTCCGCGGACAAGCTCTCGCCTCGTGCCGTCCCCTGTGTCTTCCTTGGTTTCCCTGAGGACTCCTCTGACTTCACCTTTTACCACCCTCCCTCTCACCGGTTCTTTGACTCCCGTGACGTCCGTTTCGAGGAGTCCACTCCGTACTACGTCAGGTACCCCAGTCGAGGTCTCCCGGTTCCTCCTCCCCCCCTCTTCCTGACTGCCGTTCCCCCTCCTGCTCCCCCGGTACAGCCTCCCCCCCCTGGTCCAGCCCCGTCAGGTGTGTCCCAGGCTACCCCTCCTCCTTCGGTAGCCCCTCCGGTACAGCCTCCCTCCCCACAGTCCTCCTCGCAGCGTGCCGCTGGTGCTAGCTCTCGAGAGGTTGGTGCGGCGCCTGTTCCTGTACCGGTTTCTGGTTCTGGGGGTGCTGGAGTTGGAGCTGGAGTTGGAGCTGGAGTTTCTGGTTCTGGAGTTGGAGCTGACCCGGTGGGTGCAGAGGACTCTTGTCGTCCGGGAGTTGGTGCTGGCCGCGCGGACACTGGGGGTGCTGCGTCTGGGGGTGAGGGTGCGCCTCCTTCGGGTTCAGGTGAGCCGGGTTCTGGAGCTGGTGTTAGTGCTGCCTCTGGGGGTGGTGCGCCTAGTTCGTCTGAGGTGGACTCTGGAGCTGCCGCTGCTTCGGACACTACTCCACCCCCCCACCCCTACCCGACTAGGCACCAGACTCGTGTTCGCCGTGCCCGTGACGAGCAGCTGGCGTTGGAGAGAGAGGAGAGGGAGTTACAGCGGCTGGAGGAGCAGCAGCAGCAGCTGGAGCCGCAGGAGCAGCAGCAGCAGCAGCAGCAGCTGGACCCGCAGGAGCAGCAGTCCCAGCAGCAGCCGCGTCCGCAGCAGCAGCAGTCGCAGCCGCAGCAGCAGCAGCCACTTCCTCCTCCTGTCTCGGGTCTTCGGATCCTTGGTCTCCC